AACTGAAGCACCAAAAGTTCCACAGGAACTTAAGGAAAAATTTCTTAACAGTGAGGGTGACAGAGCACTGGAACAGGTTGTCAAGAGAGGTTGTAGAGTCTCCTTCTCTGGAGATCTTCAAAACCCGCTTGGATGCAGTCCTGTGCCACGTGCTCTAGGTGACCCTGTGCAGGGGGGTTGGACTAGATGATCTCTAGAGGTCCCTTCCAACCTTAAGCATTCTATGATTCTATGAAATGTTTTATGGGAGTATTGTAAGTACACAGTAGTATTGTGCCTACTGGACCTCCAAAAGGAACTCCAGAAGAGTATGGTTCTTAGATCATCATGTTCTCTAAATCCTTAGTCTGAGATCTGTAACATGTAGAGAAGTAACAGGTAGAGTACCTGGTGACCTGGGGGATCAGAAAGTATGTCTCTGCTGCCTTTAGACCATCCATTTGCACCACTTCTACTCTACAGCTCTGACTCTAATGTAAGTGCTGGGATAAACATGTTGAAGCAGGGTTATAAAACCTGGAATGATTTCTTGGGAAGTCTGCCAAGGCACTACAACAGCCAGGAAATTACAGTGAAATTAAGTTTTCAAACTTAAGTTTGAAAAACCTTCATGGCATTGTTTCTTGTAGGTATAGATTCGTGTTACCAGTTTCTCAGGTACCTGCCGTATCTTCAGTGAGCATTTTTGTTAATGAAAGTTGAAATGTTACATAGGTTTTCTGGGTTTTCCTCACAGTTTTTGATAGTTTGTTTTCATCCCTTTTTTTTTTTTGTAAATGATCTCCCCTTTAAAGTGAGGTACTTTGTGCTGTCTTTTTTAAGTTTATCCAACTATTAGCCAGTAAGGCATCAAAATATTCCTGTGAGGTAGCTGTATGTGTGTTATCTTTTATATATGCAGACATAGCACTGTTGCACCACCTGAAATTCCATCAGGCTCCAAACTCTGTAGAGAGTGACAAATGCTAGACAGGAACACAATTTATAATGGATGAGGTATGCAAGCAAGCTCTGGGAATTGTAGGGAATTTGATTACAAACAATAATATGACACAACCCCTGCTGTGGATGGTATATGCATTGAGAGAGGCACTGCAATCAGGCAGCAGGAGCACTAGACTGAAAGCATGATCAGAGCCCTAAATCCACTTTTGCAGTACACTTACCATGTGGCTTTGGGAGAACCATGGCTGGATCAACAGTCCTTCCCCCAGTTCCCTCTCTGTCTGTTTACCATCACTGTATTAAACGACCATACCTCAGTAAGTTACTTCAATGCAATTTAGATCTCAGCATGATACTAGGCTTTGGGGAAGCTTTTGAATGGAATTATGTGAAATGACAAGAAGTTATTTGAATAATTTTGTGTAGAAGCTCGCAATGAGCCTGACAACTTTTCCTTGAGGTAACTTTTCCTCATCAACCAAACTTTCCCAGTGGGACTATCTTCCACTCCAGTGAGTGCACTTGCAGTACAGAAGTGAATGATAGAGATGTTAGCCAATATTCAAGTCCTGAGCAGTACTGAATGCAAAACCTGCCTTGTCCTAGACAAAGCAGTGAAAAAATCCTCATATTGAGTCAACAGCTGACAGTGGCTTTTATGCCCTCAGATTTTACAAAGAGATGTTTTCCAATCCCTCTTCAGAACCAAGTCATAGATGGGACAAGTCTGCTGGCCTGAGTGATTGCAGCAGCCTGGTTTGTCAATGCACAGAAACGTCCTGACATTGGCCTTTCAACATCAGTTACCTTAGCAGACCTGAACCGCCAATGTTACAGCTAAAAAAAAAAAAAAAGGCTTTTGTTTCGTTTTATTCACTCTTGATGTTGCCCCTTATTATATGTATTGAGGAAAGTAAGGATGTACAGGTCACAGCGTTCATTAAACAGAGTATTGGCCTAAACTTTCTTGTGGAGAATATCAGTTTAATGACCCTTTTACTTTTAAGAATGTAGTTTCACAGCTGACCAAAGGCATGATTCATTAATAAAAGCAAGGCCTACTTTTGTTTGGATAACCATCCCACCACTCTATAACAATGTAATCTTGATTTACAAAATTTTGTGCATTTTATAAAGTTGTATTTCACTGAATTTGGGATTTCATCCTATGGTGAACAAACAGATCAGTGCTGGTTCTGTCTATCTGTGTGCATGCTTTAAACTCTCCAACGTTCAGCTCCATTACTACTTTCGTCCCTGATTGGCAACAAGTAACATTTAAGTGAGAACATGAAGAAAAATGTGTAGGATGTTGATACTGATATTTATTAAATAATAGTCTCCTGATTGCTTTGAGCTACATGAAAACATAGAAAACAAGACAGCTTTTGCACTGTATTGTAATGGCACCTTCATTTGTTCTGGTTTGTCAAGAAAAATAATTTCTTTTTTATTTTTCTTTTTCCTTGCTCTTCAATACACATCATTCATATCACTGTTTAAGAAGTCCTTGCAATGTTGCTTTTAACTTTAACATTAGATCAATGGGTGTTTTTTGCAAACTTCAAATTCGATCATAAAATCATTGATTAAATCAAGATTTAGTACTGCCCTATGCTTACACTTTTATTTTATCAGAAACACAAGGATCGTGCTGTTCTCTCTTACCTTACATTATCTCAGATTGAAAATTTTGACGTTATTTTTATCTTCGGCCATATTTTCCAAAATCTTGTTGAAAGGCATATCTCAAGGAGCTAAACATGTCCTATATTCCAAAAGTTTTTCAGTAGATGGCTTCACCTCAGCTTTGAATGCTTTTGTCTGCATGACCTAGTGCACTACGTGTAACCTGTGGCATTACGACAAATCCATTCTTCAAAGCCATGGCCCTTAAGACTGCCCTGTGGGAGCAGAAGTGTGCAGGGACCATTGCAGTACAAACCAAAAGCACTATATTTGAAAGGTTCTTGGCTTGCCATAGGAAATGGTCTGCACAAAGTAAAGTACTGATCTAGATTAGTTTCCTCCACATGGGAACTGAAAGTCCTTCCAGTGCATAGAGCCACCCGCACTGAGTGTACCCACCTGCAGGTGGGCTTGGTGAACAATTCTCCCTGCCATCTGAGGTGCTTCAGGCTATGGTTAACATTTGACTGTAGAGTTGCATTTTTTTGTACATGTATCTTCTCCATTCTTCGTTTTCATATTCCTTTAGGTTGTTCCCATTTACTACCCTGTTGAATTTGGGGCATCTGTTTGTGGGTTCTGATCTTGGAAGTAATAGGATTATGCTTACTCTTCTAGGCTGGTTTCTTTTGCATGGGATACCACATGTGTTTTTAATCTGAAAGTCATTCTCTTTTATGTTGTCAAACAAAACTGCCATAGTTTACCAATTGAAATATATTGATATTACCATTCCTTTTTCTCTGTATAATTCAGTTGTTTTTTTTTACTAAAGTCATACACACATGACTATAATTCTTAACTGTTGCCAAGATGTATTTGCAATTTGATTCTTGCCATGGGTGACAGAAAACTTTAAAACAGCTATGAGTTTACCAACATCCACCAAGCTTTTTACTCCTCCTTTACACAGCCTTTCTGGCTTACCCTTTCTACCTCATCTTTCTCTCTGTCTTTTTTTTTTCCTTTCTTTTGCTTTTTCCAGTTTATGGCTCATTGATTTCATAAGTCATACCAAGACCTCAGGCTCATCCCCAGGGCATAGACATCTGGAAGGCTGAAATAGGGCTGTCAGCATAAAAAGAAAGTGGAGACAACTTGGCTTTATCTGGCGATCCACAAATAGCTTGAACAGTGTTGCTAGCCATGAAATCTGAATCCTCTTTTAGAAACAGCAGAAATAATGGCCTTGATTCACACCCAGTTTACTTTGGCTGTTGCTGGTGGAAGTTAGAATACAAAATGGTGTTGGCAAAGCAGTAAAGCGCAAAATAGTGCAAAGACTTTGCAAGCTGTTCCTCTTGGCATCTTATACCCTTCTCTCTCAACCCCCTAAAATATTGGTTAAACTAGGTAAGGACAGAGCCTGGTGACCTATTCGGACCACGATGTGAGAAAGCCTCACATTCCTGTGAGGTCCTGGTTGCTGCTTAAGCCATTCTGCTTTAGTGACATCCCTGTGGCACACTTCTTGCCTTCATGAATTTAATCAGTCTCTTAGCCTATCTGAAAGCCTCTCTGGGAAATACAGTTTGCTCCTGTTTATGCTGGCAGGTTGATGTAGGCCCCCACCTTCCAAGCCTCACACTTGGAGCACACTTGGTGCTAGAGAAACAGTGACAGCATTTTGCTACCTTGAGCAGTGTAAGCAGAACATAAATACCCTTTTTGATAAGAGTTTTATAGCTTTTAGAAATGAATGATAAGGATCAAGCTCTAATTTCAGACACATAAGCATTTTATTGGGCATTTTTGTTACCTGTGCAGTGCACAAGAAATATCACAGCTAAACGTTTTATTTCCTGATCCTTACTGTATAAAGATACGACAGAGCTCTTTTTAGGGCATCCTTTATTTTGCAGCTGTGCTTTTCTCCTTCTCTACACAATAGCACCAGTTCATGTTGTGACTGGTTTCAGACGTAACTGTTATATTCATGCTAGCACTGCTCTGACATGTGTGGTGACATTCGAAAGGTCTTTTCTCCAGGCAGACAATATTCCCACTGGTCTCACTGCTCAGCTTGTCTGGGCAAAGTGTGCTCTGAGGTCCATCCAGTGGGCAAAGCTGTAGCTTTACTGGAGGGAAATTTTGCTTTCCTTCCCTTCAGGACAGTGAAGCCCTGCTCTCTCCACAGAACTGCACTGGCAGAACCACACACTGTTGTTTATGCTAATGGGTTCCTTAACAGCCTGTCAGAACCCAGATACTGTGAATACTGCAGTGTTCACAACTTGAACCCCGCTGAGCTCAGCGGGACATGTTCCCCACGCTATAATGGATCCAGAACTTAATCCAGGATATCGTTAAACACAGTAAGTGGTGCCGACCCTGGCGTAATTGTCTTCCCTCTCCTCCATTCACAGCTACCTCATCCCTGAACTCCCAGCTGCAACAGCTTCAGCATCTTCAGCAGCTCCAGCAGCAGCAGCAGCAGCATCAGCGCAGCCGCAGCAGAACCCAACGCAGCCCCAGAGCCAGGGCCAACCGCCCCCAGCCCCGCAGTCCTCCAGCTCCCCCCAGAAACCCAGCCAGTCGCCAGGACACGGCCTCCCATCTCCTCTTACTTCACCAAATCCGCTGCAGGTAGGCTGCTAAGTACAAAGCTCCAACGGTTTTGCAACGATAAGTGCATATTCTCCCAGTGCAAAGGAAACTCGGATGAATGTAACACCTTCTGACCGTACAAGAAATTCTACCTCATCCTAATTACTCTTATAAGCATGTGCCTTAGGCCAAAAAGCTTGATAAACCAAAAAAGTGTAACTAATGATGGTCCTAGCCCTGTTTCCCTTTGAAGAGTAAGCATCTTTTGTTCATAAAGTCCATACTATAAAGCCCATAGAAAACGGTCTGATTTTTTTCCATCGATGCAGTGATGTAACCTTCACAAATGCATTTTCCCAGCACTCACCCTTTGTGATAACTCAGGGGCAGCAAAATTAGCTGCTCATTATCCTGACTTCCCTGAAAAAGTAAAGCTTCCACTGCTGACTGTGTGCTAGAGATGGATGGGTAACCCTTCCTCTTGAAACCACAGTCCTAAAGTTCATCCTGTGAAGGATCAAATACTTCTGTTAAGATTCTCAGTATAGATCCCAGAGCTAAGAAAGCCAGTTAATCCCTTTCCTAGGTGCTCACTCCACTGACATGGGTGTATTTGAATATACCAAAACAAATGTGACACCCGCACTAATGCTGAACTTTGCTTGTCTTGGAAGTCCCATCCAGAAATAGGAGAGCTCCAGTATAACAATCTGAACATCTTACACTTGCGTGTTCTTATACAGTATGTGTCATACTGTATCCGTGTTCTGCAAGAACAGTGTTGACTATACCCACAAGTATGATTCTGATAAACACCAGGGTCACCTGTGAAGTGAGCAGATTCTGCTTTGATGGGCAGTGGAACTGCACTTAAAACAAGCAAGGAATGTTGCCAGCAAGAACAATCTCTGTTCGCTTTATTCCCTAAATTTTGAGACCTCGCTTTGAAGATTTTATCTGCATTGATGGCTTCTGCCCCATTTGCTGCAGAAATTGAACTGCATTATCTTAATAATTAAATAATCCCTTTTAAAGCAATTAAGTGAATTGGTTTACAAGAAGCTGTGTTTTCTGTGTGGCCAGTTAAGACTGGCATTAATCTGAGCTGCGACTAAATTGTATCGAATCTGTATTTTTAATGGTTTAGCTAATAGACTTAAAAGTCCACATGAGATGTGTCCTTGCTTCTTGAGCCGTTTCTTACAGTAGAACATAATGTTTCTGGAGTTTCATCTGTGTATTGTCTTAAGGGCTACTTAAGCACTACTTAGTGCACAGTCTGTCATGCTAGTGAGTGCTTTGGGTCTCTTCAATATGCAGATTATTGACAAACAGAGAGAGAAATAGCTCCAGAGGAGCTTCTGTTACATGTTACTGTCTTGGTGCAGCTGCAATGTATGCACACTAAGTATATATATATACTCCACATGTTGCTAAAACTGCTTGCTAAATATTTTCCTGTAAAAGTTGCTGTGCATTCACTTTTCCAAGCAAAACAAGTGCACATGAAAGTTAAGGTTGGGGAAGGGAGGAACAGGGCTGAGCTTACTGAACATGCCTCAGGAGAGGTGTACTAACAGTGACTTTGAACTAGAGATCTTAGCTCTCCAGTCCTGTTCTACTTGCCAGTATTCCCAGTCTCATCCGTAACCTACAGGTACAGGCCATTAGGTGTGCTTACTACTGTTTAGCTCTGCAGGGTCATGTCTCCCTTTCAGAAGAATGATAAAAGTAAGTAAGTAAAACTAATGACTCCTTGTTTAAGAGGTACTCATGTCAGTGTTCTCATGGAGATACCTTGACACATTGCGCTCTAATGCGTTACCCTCCCAGCTACCCTTCTGGATACGGCAGACTAAACAATAGTAGAGGGAGGGAATCAAGTATTCTGAGACAGTTTTAGTTCAAGCACTATGTCCTAAACCACCCCTTTTAAGACTGGGATTAGACCTGATGAAATAGCAAAGTGAGAGATCTGGTACTCCCACTGGGTTGTATTTAGCCAGTGTAGCTAAGCCAACTGAATGAGTCGGACACATTCAGAGCACCAGCCAGTGAATTTTAAGTCATTAGCTGTCAGCTCTGGCTCAGCATTAAAGATTTTCTAATAAATTTGGCGTTAAATATTGTTGTACTCTTTCCTCTGTGATCCATGTCATTTAAACAACCATGAAAACACAGCCGTGCACTAACATCCAGAACAGAAGCCTGGACTCTGTGCGGTACTTCAGGCCTAGCTTTAAGGATGGGTTTAGGACTGCTGAGTTGGCTTTCCAGCCTTTTCTATGCTAAGCATAACACTTTCCAAGCTTCCCTGAGATACTGTGTTTCAGAAATCCTTAGGAAGAACTTGAAACATGGTCTGTGGTATTAGTGAGGACTGTGAGGTTCTCTGATATTCAAACCAGAGATACTCAGAAATATCTCCAGAGGAACTGCTGCTGTACTTTATAGATGGTTTAATGATGTGTTTGTGTACTTTTCTAAAGCGGAGCAATAGTATGATCTCTTCCATTAAATTTGAATTTCCACTCAAAATCCCGCGGAGAAAAACTGTTTTACCTCCTACATTTAGCTTGAGGATTGGTTTTGAAATTGTTTTCTTTTATATAAGTGCAAAAAAAAAAAAAAGGGAGCAGGAAGACATTTGGCATCAGTAAATATATCCAGTTAATAACAGCTGCTTAGGATGAGGATTTTTTTAATGTCCAATGCTTTAACTTAAAAATCGACCTAAAACTAAATTCAAAGATATTATGGCCTCTAAGGTAATGATCTTTATGAACTAGAATGAAATGGGTTTTGTTTGAACAATATTAAGGGAATAAAGATCAAGTAAGTTAAAGTTTGACAGCTTAAATTTCATTCCTGAATTCTTGATTTTTTCGTGTGGGCTTTATCCTCGTACATTATTCAAGATCTGTCTGAAAGATATTAGTTTAGAACAATGCAACCTCAAAAACTTGTCATGGAAAGTCAGTAATTCAGGAGGATGATTGTGTTTGTTTCAAAAAACTCTGAAGGATAACAGCAATTACATCTCAAAATGTACAGATACTGTCATGTCCTTCAGAAAGCAAATTAAATGAAAATGACTTGCTTAGGTATACCTGAGTGAGGTACTTTTGCTAGCCGATCGGAAATTAATAATACTCATGCAGTGTATTGGTTAAAATACTGGTTAAAACTCTCAGAATGATTCTTGTCAGGTTGTTCTGCAACAGACTGCTATAATTCGATCACCATTCTTTACTCCATACACTGGGCTGGCTTGTAGTTACAAAACTATTATTTTCAGTAATTGCTAATGATTGTGTAGTAAGAAGAGAAAGCTTAGTTCTAAGTTCACGGCCTGGTTCTGTGCTGACATGAATGATGATGCTCCTAATGTACATTGGTAATGGCACAACACCACAGAGTCAGGGTCATTACTGACTTGCAAAAGACAGCAAGGCAGAAGAGAGTTTTTCCAAGTTGATCTGCATTTCAGCAGGTAGTGGGGTCAGATATATCATGGAGGACCTACATCCCTTTATTTTAAAATGCTGAAATTCTTCATAGGGATAGTTGTAGATAGATTTTTAGTTCCATTGTGCCATTGATTGAGACAAAATTAACCAGAGGCAAAAGACAGCCCAGCTCAGAATGTAAACTTCAAAACTTTTAATTCTGTAAATATATCCTTCCCCAAATATACTTCTCTGCTGAATATTTAGTATTATTATAGGGCAAACCGAATGGTTTGTTGAATGGCCAGCATGTTGCAACTTCAAAGCATAGTTAGCACCTCTTATAGAATTTCCATTCAATTAAAGATCTGGAGCCGTAAGATCTTGATTATATAAAATCAGATGAGGCAAATATTAAGTTGCACATTATTCTACTTGACTGCCAGAATCAGATGCTTAAGAACAACATATATTTAACTGTCCTGGCCCCAAACAGGAGCTTGGCTTCTGGTGCTGTCATCCATAGTATGCTTTAGTGGTATAGATAAGAGGAGCCTACTGAAAGGCAGATCTACAAATAGAAAAAAATCCCAGTGATTTCTAGTGCTTTGCTCATGTGTGGATAGAAACAAACAGGAAATCCCCCAAGGATTGCCCCACTCTAAAATTATTCTGACCATTTTCAGAACTCTTTTTCTAAAGCCCCTTTTTGTCATAGAAGCCTACCTAGAATAACTGAAGCTGATGGAAGATGATGAGTGAGAAAAAAATGATAATAAAAAGAGGGAAGAAGAGGGGAGATGACAACAGCAGGAAAATCTTCCAAGTAATAGGAAACTCTAGGATTGCAAAAACAGAACCCACTTCAGATTAAATTTTTATACTAATCTTAAATAATATATTTGGCACCTCAACTCTTTTATAACAAAGGAGAAAAGAAAAGCAGAAAGGCTGAAACACTCAGCTGTAAATGAGGGAGAATGTATATACAGATGCCTGAGGCTCCAGCAGTCAAAAAGGCCCAAATTGACCCTTCCTCTCCCTCCCAACCACATTCACTGGATAGCTTCTAATTAAGGAAAAATCTACTTTTTTTAAAAAAAGGCTCAGTGTTTACTGAGACTTTGATAAATTTACATATATTTAGGATGCAGTAGGAACAACAGTCTCTTGCTTCCAGAAGGGCAGCCAGGATTAGTTTGCAAAGCGAGGGGCTGTTTTTCTGTCTTCATTTACATCCCAGGACATTTGTGTTACGCTCACAGACTCCTGTTGAAACTTGATCAAGATGGTAACACCAATTTGAAGTTCAAATTTGAGTTGCAGTGCGGCCTGGAACTCCTCACCTCCCCTGGTGCCTACCATGGGCCTCCTTAATCCTTCTGTCTCTGCTGTCCATTCTACTGCTCCTCTGTGGCGACCTGGCAGGTTATCATGGCTCCTTGGCCTAGGGTGCAGTGCAGAGGGATACACACAGATACACATGGGTTTTCCAGCAGATCTAGCCTGTTTGAAGCTGCTGCCCCTTGTTTCAGGTGCTTTCGGCTACCTACATGGACGTCATTTCTGCAGAAAGGCTAGTGTCAGTTT